TATTGTAATACTTGTTGTGTCGTATTATGTACTCCGTTGTATATATTGTATACTTTGTTATCTTATAATCAAACTCACTTGTAGCATAGAAGAGCCACTATGTGGAAATGCTATTAAATCATTATTATTATTATTATTATTATTATTATTATTTACAAGAAATAACTATTTACACGAAATACAAAACATAACAAAAAAATACAAGTGATTTTAGCTGCACGATGACACACAAGCAAATTTCAACTCATTCTTTGTTTCAATATCGATTTGAAAGAGCTTAAGGATTCAGCAATTTTTGCCTCATGGGGAAGATAATTCCAATGCAAGGCACCATTATAAATGAAGCACATTCTTTTTTCGGCATAGGTGGTACTAAATCAGTATCCCTATTTCTAAGATTGAAGGTATTATGTCTTTCATTATTAAATTGAACTGCTTCTTTAAGACTGGGTGCGGTGTGGAAAATAGATTTAAGATAATTTCGTCTTTCTTCGAGAGGTTTCCAATTTAGATTATCGAGTAACTCAGATGACCGAATATCGTAAGTTGCCCCAGTAATTGCTCTTGCAGAACGATTCTGGCATTTTTGCAACATGTTTTTGAGCCCTATTCCGCAATTATCCCATAACGGGTACCCTGGGTACCAGAGCCTCTTGTGATAGAAGTGAGGACACGACGAAGAGGCTCTGGTCACACGAGCGCCCAGCCTCACTTTGGTGAGTTCAATAGTTGAACTCTGTTTGTGATTGGTCTAATTTTATGCGAGTCTTTTCATTGGCTAACCGAACCTTATCGTAAATATTGACCAATCACAGACAGAGTTCAAATATTGAACTCACCAAAGTGAGGCTGCATGCTCGTGTGACCAGAGCCTCCTCGTCGTGTCCTCACTTCTTTCACAAGAGGCTCTGGCATCCAGGGTACATAACTGGCTGCAATAATCGAAATAAGGCTGTATGATAGCATTATATAGCATTTTGGTTGTCGACAGTGAAAAGGTTGAACGCGTCTCATTGCACCAATACTGGTACCAACCTTAGAACAGATAGAATCAATATGTTAATCCCAAGACAACCTTTCGTCCATAGTCGCGCCAAGGCATGAATATTTATTAATCCTGGGTAGTAGCTTATTATTAATTAAAATAGGATTACCAGATACTTTATTTTTAAGGTTATAGGGAGATCCAATGAACATATGTTTCGATTTACTAGGGTGGATTTGAAAGTTTATTTTGTATCATCCATTTGCGTATGTTTTCGAGATCAATATTTACCTTGTCAACAAGGTCAGCGCAGTCATTAGAGGATGCATAAAATTCCATGTCATCAGCATAGAGTGAAGGAGTTAAGTGACTTAACGAATCAGGCATGTCATTTATGTATAATAAAAATAATAGAGAAACAAGGATGGACCCCTGTTGAACTCCGCATATTATTTTTTTGGGCTCAATAATTGTCCGTTTATAAGACATTGTTGAACTCTGCATGTTATGCAGGTATGATTCGAACCATCTTAGTTGGTTTCCTGTTACTCCGAAAAAATTACGCATTTTATCAATCAGAATTTCATGATTTATGGAGTCGAAGGCTTTTCTAACATCAAGAAAGACTATACAATTTATTTGACCACTATCCATGTTTTTAAGTAAATTATCACACATTTGTATCAACGCAGACAGGATTGAGTGTTGAGGTCTAAACCCTGATTGGAATTTAGAAAGTAATGAGTTATTGGAAGGATAGCCATAATGAAGCTCTCTCAAAAACTTTACTTACAGTGGGGAGTATGGAAATTGGTCTATAATTTTTACATTTCCTTCTATCTTCAAATTTGTAAATTGGAATTACTCGTGCGCGTTTCCAGTCATCAACATAAATACCAGTGTCAAGTGATAAATTAAATATATATGTTAATGACGGGGCAGAAATATCCGCAGAGAGTCTGAGAACATTGGCTAGAATTTTATTTGTAGATTTATCTATCTTAAGGTTCATTAATGCCAGGACAATGTTTTCTACATTAATACGATGGAAATGGAATATCGTATCTGTTGTGGGATTGGAATTATCGTAGCTACTCGTAGTATGTTGAGTAAGAGGCTCTTTGCGATCGTCAGAAGCTAAGCTAGGGCCAATTTTAACAAAATATTCATTAAACGATTCAGCGATTAACTTAGAATCGGTAATGCTGTTGTCATTCACTGATATTTCTGTAATACTGGAAGATTTGTTATTCCTTCCAGTCAGGGAAATTATAAGGGACCAAATTTTTTTGAAATCATTTGAATATGTACAGTCCCCTACCTCTTTGTGATAAAACTCAATTTTGCTTTTACGCATTAATATTTGCTTATTTACTCTGTCTGTTCCGTAAGGATTTGTATTTATCCCAGTGAATTAATGATTTAAATCTCTAATGGCTTTCTATTTATAGTAATTTCTCATTAGTTGTTTAATAGCAGGTGTAATCTATGGGACCGAGTTAGCTTTAGTTCTCTTTTGGCGTACAGGTGCACGTACGCTTATTTAAAATTTCGTAAAACATTGATTTCCATACAATCCAGCATGCATGTATGGGGATCACCGTAGCAGATTGTATCTCAGGGTACCTGCAGTAAATCAGCGCGGAATTGCGATTCCAAGAAATGTTTGAAATCGCGGACTTAGAGGAGTTAATGGACCTTTCCCCTTATAACTAAAATTTCAATCTAGACAAAAATTTCATCACAGCTTGAAAAATTAGTAATATTCCAAAGTTTTGTTGCAAAATCTTGTAAAATGCGGTTAATATCGCCTTGCGAAGTTTGCCGTTTTTCAATCATTTTGTATTACAAACGGGAAATTGATATCCGATTCGGGTGTTGGGGCTGCAATTTCCCGTTTGGCGAGACTTTTTTTATTCATTGGTTTACGGATCCTTCGAGCGTAAATATTCAGTAAGTGAAAAATAAAAAAAGTAAATTTGGATGTCAAAAATTTTACAATTTTAGTTAATTTTAATCAATTTGGGGTTCTGACATGAAGCAACCTCGTTCCCAGGGCTTCTCCCTTTTTGTCATTGGATGAAGTACACTTCAAGTGAACTTTGACTGTAGGTACTGCTGGCTCATGCTATCGTTTTGATAATCAATATGGAGATTAGCCACGTTTTTTTAGTTTTTTTTTAAATTAACGTTAAAAACTTTTATAAAGATTATTAATTTTGGTTCTCAATTATACTCAGTTTGTTTGTTTTTTTTAATTTTTTTCCGACCTACCGACCTCGTATTTCTAAAGTCGAATCCGTAAACCAATAAATAAAAAAGTCTCGCCTTTGTAATGCAAAATGACTGAAAATTACAAACTTCGCAAGGTTCTATTTTCCTCATTTTACAACATTTCGTAACGAAACTTTGGAATATTACTAATTTTGTGATGCTCTTTCAAGCTGTGATGAAATATTTGTGTAGACTTGCCTAGATCAAAATTTTGGTTATACGCGGAAAGGTCTATTGTTGACGGCCAAGAATTTGTCAATGCACTTGATCAACAACGGGTACATATGTTGGTAACGTGGTCATTTCTTGTCGTGGAATGTTCGCGTTATATTTCGCTGCTCGAGATAAGATAGGATTTGATTTTCTTTCACGTTTTCAGCGATGCCTGTTAGAAGAAATTTTGTTGGTTTTTTTTTCGCTTGCGCTTGACTCCAATTTAGTTTTGGGAATTCTGCGAGATATGTGTTATAAAACTCAGTCTTGTCTTAGACGAGCAAGATTTATTACTGACAAAAACAACCTATACCTAATTATGAAGAAATTACCATCTATAACATCCTTTCTTTTATAAAAAATTAGATAGGTTTTTTAGTTTTTTGAGGTTTTCTAGTCCAGACTGTCCAGTTTTCAAATCTAAACATGTCCTAATGTTCAAATGTTCCTTATCACAGTCTATTTCAAAACAAATCTTTCGAATGCGTTGGTAATCGGCGCAAACACTGAGATCTTGTACTTCGGTGTGTCTAGAACTGGTACTTTCTTGTTCATTTGCTGGAGATGGAAGGATTGTGGTTGAGGTTGTTGATGAAAAACTCGACTCCACCACAGGTACGATCACTGTGGTTGAGGTAGTGGGTTCGTCGGACTGTCTCATCACTGGATTTTGAGAAGGTGTATCATTGTCGTTTAAGGATGGAGTGGACTTTCTTAAATGAATTCTGTTCTTTCGCAGAATACCGCAGGGTGTTTGCACTTCGTAGGGTCTCTCATCCAAACGTTTTCTTACCGATCCCAGTTGCCATTCTTTCTTTCCAAGTTTCCAACGCTTGATTCTTACCGAGTTGCCTAGCTTCTTCTGAAGGTAGAAGGTCTCGCGCCCCTCCGTTGTTAATACTTTGCTTCTTGTTGTTGACGCATGCACAATTTGAGGCGTGTCAAATTATCATCCGCCGTACTTGGCTTGAGCAATTAAACAGACATAGATAAAAGACTTCTCGTTCTTCTACTGAAGAAACGTTATGCAAGACTAATCTGAACGACTGCAGATGGCGTATTTCTGTGATCCAACAAAGCTATGAATGTGTCGGTGCTAGCTTTGTTGCACTTCATTATGATCTTCTTAGCCTCTTTCACAGCACTCTCCGCTTTTCCGTTGGCTTGACTATGGCGCGGACTGTTGGTAAAATGTTCAAAATCCCATTTGTTTGCGAATTTGACAAAATCACATGACACAAACTGTGGACCATTATCTGTCACTAGCTGTTCAGGAATACCATGCCTTGAAAAATGAGCTTTCAATTTCTTGATTACAGACGTTGAGGTCGTACTTCTAAGAAAATCCAGTTCGAAGAAATCACTGAAGTAATCAGTAGTGACCAGGTAGGTCCTTCCAGCATGTTCGAAAAGATGAGCTGCTATACGTTGCCATGGTCGACTTGGTATCTCATGACTCATTAAGGTTTCTTTCGTCTAGCTTCGTTCATATTCTCTACACACCTTGCAAGTTGACACAAAATTTGATATCTCCGGACATTCCAGGCCAGTATAGACACTGCTTTACTAAAAGTCTAGAACATTGTCCTCAGTATGGATCTCCAGGGGGTTACGCTTCTTGTGCTAATCGACCTAAGTACGTGCCGCATTTAATACTATCGACCATGCAATCCTCCTGGAGACACTTGAAAAGGACTTTGGTGTAACTGGAAATGCCCTCAAATGGCTAACATCTTATTTATCCAAGAGAAAACAAACGATTTTAATAAAAGACTATAAATCGTAAGTTTTCAATCTTCAATCGCGAGTGCCGCAGAGTAGCTGTCTTGGCCCTGTCCTCTTCATACTCTACGTAGCTGGGTTATTTAAGATCATCGATAAACATCTTTCCAATGCACATACGTATGCAGATGACACCCAGATTTATCATTTGTTTCGGCCGGATACATCTTTATCGCAAGATGCTGCACTAAAGTGTATTGAAAACTCTGTTGCTGACATTCGTGCCTGGATGCTTTCTAACCGTCTCTTGATAAATGACTCCATCACTGAATTTATTATCATCGGTTCAAAGCAGCAATGTCAAAGATTAACATCAATGAAATTACAGCCTCGGAATGTGGTTTGACTCACATATGTCGATGGATATTCACATTGGAAAGATAAGAAAATTCCTTTCAGAAAATACAACAAAGATTTTGGTTCATGCATTTGTTACTTCACATATCTAGACTATTGTAATTCATTGTTTTATGGTCTCCCTCAGTATCAATATGATAGGTTACAAAGAGTTCTCAATGCCGCAGCATGTGTGGCTCTCTAATCCGCAAATTCGATCATATCATGACTCCCGTTTTGATTAGGTTTCATTGGCTTCCTGTACGGTATTGGTGTACAAGGCTCTCCATGCTAATGTACCGCCTTATATCTCAAACCTTCTGACACCTAAGCATATTTTTTTATACCTATACAAAGTTTCCGCTGTGAACCTATGAGAGTTGCCAGTAAGGCTAAACAGCCTAAACTTTTGGGTATTGCCTTTTCAGAAGATTTAAAATGGAATGATTACATTCAAGACATCTGTGCCAAAGCTAGTAAAGGCTTATATTTTCTAAAAATCTTACGACGAGCAGGCTTTGATGTTGTGGACTTAGTAAAAGTTTATTGCTGTTACATTCGACGAGCATTGGAATATGCTTGCTCTATTGGGTACTCTTGCTTCCTGAATGCTTATGTCAACAAGTGGAATCAGTCCAAAAACGAGCTCTCCGCATCATATGCAAGAATTCTCATATTCGGAGAACAAGGAGACTACTACTGCAGAAGATTGAATGTGACCCACTAAATGAAAAAAACCTGTTGTTTCACCAGTTTATACTGGTTGTTTGTGCGGGCATCACCTTGGATTGTGGCATCGTGAACATTCCAGAGAGGCGGTGAGAACCTGGGTGGCATATGACGAACGCGAAGTGGTCGATTCGGTCTTTGAATGCGCCTGTATGTTCCTCTTACGAAGTTCACATCAAAATATAATGAATCAGTTACTCGTCTTCCTCGGGAAAATTCTCTCGGATGAACTTGTAATCCACGTCTGCAACAGGTAGAAGCGCAATACCATCTAGCATTAATTCCGCAATACAACCGAAAATTTTCATCATCACCGTAAAAGTTTGACAACCCGAGTTCTTGTATTTTTCTCCATGTACTTTGGGCAAGGTGATAAAAACAGCACTGAATTATCACCTCAGCACCAAGCATAGAACGAAGGGCTTGAATAGTTGCTTTTTCTAGTAAAGGATTACTGTTCTGGGTGGTCTGCATCCCACCCACAACAATTGCATTCTTCTTATAACATTCGAAACATTTTCAGAAACATTGGCTTTTGATAATTAGCAACGCATAGACCACGGAAACGGCAGTTTAGCCAAGGCAGGACACGCATGACGTACAGCTGCTGGAACAGAGGTGGCGCCATTGAAAAGTTAAAAAAAAACTTATTAAAAAAAAAAGTTAAAAACTCTCGGCTCAAAAAATGAAATTCTTTGTTACATTCACAATGAAATGTATTTACCCCAAGAACAAACAAACACTATTTAGGATTTTGAATTTTTATTAATTTTTAAAATTTCAGCGATTTTTCGGTCCCGCACCGTCGCGCAGAAAATCCTCTGCCTATATCAGGCATAAATATTAGCCGAATTCAAATACATATAATTTTAAAAGTATTCAACTAAATTTTATGATTTTTTCACCCACCGTGAAAATTATTCTACTTTGAAACTTGTCTTGTTTTATGATGCTTTTGCAGAACGATTATGACAAACTGTAGCAATAACAAGCACCGGGTCTAAATACGGCTTTGTACGCTTGTCAAATTCGACTTTAAATTTCCCAAAAGTGGCACCTAACTGGATTCAGTAACTAATAAGGTTAAACAAATGGAAGTTTGAAGTACCAATATCCATAATAAAACTTGTTAACAACCGCGATTTGAAGACTCGGCAGCCTCTGAAATTTGATACAATTTGGCTATTTTGTTTAGCTTCAATTATGGCGGAGTTGAGACGTCCGAGCTTCCAGAGTCCCAGTCACTTGTAAAATGCGTTGTTGTTCCGTGTTTTTTTTTCACAAGCCGTTAATATCATCGTAGTTAAGCGATTTTTCTGTGTTCATGAACATCACAAGTGGATTTAATTAAAAAAGATTTCGATCTATGCAGCGACTATGAGCGAGGTAAACGCTTTCGTATTAAAATTAGCTACTCGAGGGAAAACCCGGCAATTATTGTCAATGCTGATATTTATTCATCTAAACTATCTATTCTGCACGATTGGAAATGAATTTAGAGGCTATATCTCTAGAACCGTCCAATGGCTCTAGGCTCAAAAAATGAAATCTTCGTCACTTTCATAATGAAATGTATTTATCACAAGACTGATAAACAAACACTGTTTGGAATTTTGATATTTTATTTATTATTAACAAGCACCAAGTCCAAATACGGCTTTGTACACATATCAAATTCGACTTTAAATTTCTCAAAAGTGGCTCCTAACTGGATTCATGCATGCAGTGACTAATATGGTTGAAAAAAGGAAAGTTTGAAGTACCAATATCCACAATAAAACTTCGGTTACCAACCGCGATTTGAAGACTCCAGAGCCTATGAAATTTGTTGCCTTCAATTATCGCGGAGTTGAGACGTCAGAGCTTCCAGTCATTTGTAAAATGCGCTGTCGTCCCGGGGTTTTTTTTCACACAAGCCGTTAAGCGATTTTTCCGTGTTTATGAACATCACAAGTTGTTTTAATTCGAGATACTGATTTGGCTCGATGCTGCGAGGCAAAAGTTACAGCGAGGTAAGAGAGGTAAAATAGAGTCGGCCTTGCTAATTTTGGCACTTCCCGTCATAAACAGTTTAATCGTGCAACAATTACTGCCATTTATTAGGAGAAAACCAGAAATATGCCGAATTGTCTTGTCTCTATAGCTTCTCTTCCGTGTAATGCACAGCAATTCCATTATAGTATATATTTGACAATTTCGATTCCCAACTATATCTTCACATGATACTATACCTTACAGGGGTAATTTACGCATGAATTAACATTCCCCATTTTAAATACATCGTGAACAGTTTGATTCTACCATTATTCTGGCCGACGTTTCATATAAGAGTCCCCACATGACCTGGCCTACCCACACCCCCAGTACGACTCTGCCCCAAACCCAACCCTACCCCAACCTCGCATTTGTGTGACGTCATTTGAAAACTCTTGTATGAAAATAAACTTCACCCTTTATTAGCTCTCCTTATTAAACAATTCCAGGTGAAGTTGATATAAAGGTTCTCAAATGACAGCCTACTCCTGGTAGGGGTCAGGATAGAGTTGGGGTGGGGGTCATTTGGAGACTATTCCATATATGTGACTCTTCTATTAAATTTCAGCCAAGCCCTGCCCCTGGTTGAAACACTAATCAAAACCCTTATTCAAACTACTAGAAGTTACTATCGCAAGGAAAATGCTGCCTCAACCCGTCTTCCATCACACAAGCACGTAAGGCACCCTTAAGACACCAGGAGGTAGGAAAAGTGCAATTTGAATACGAAAACAGCTTGCACAAAGTCGAAGGTCAGCTAGATATTCTAATCATAAAGATTATAAATAACACTAGAAGAGGCACTGTGGTCAAAAATTTGGGAACACGTCTGTTGGGGGGGGAGGGGGGGGGGACAAATGTAGGTCCCGGATATAAAATCGTGCTCTCACCAATGGGAACACAAGTACACATGCAGGAATTTGCCCCCAATAGCAGGATTCCTTTTTTGCCTAATGTCAAGATTGCGATGCTTCTTCTAGTGTTATTTATAATCTCTATGATTCTATTAAATCCTATTGACTTCCAAAAATTCCTTACTCTTAAAGAAATTACTTCCTTGAAAATTCCTTCGTTCTAAAAAAAGGAAGGACTTTGTGAAAATCTACAGGTCATGCTATGCACATTTTTAATGGTTAATTGGCAATTT